TATAGTTAAATGTATAAATATGTCTAATATTCTTTCAAATATAACTTCAGCCATATGAACTAACCCATTTATGTAAAAATAGAATAAATATAAATCTATACCTAGGTTACTAGATTTTTGTATAAAACAATTTAGGTTTCCCCACCTTTAAAAAAATGTTCATATATATATATAAAATGGAGATTTTATATCTTCAAAATATAGATTATAAGATATATGTCTTAATATGTAAAATATTATATTTAATAAATATATATATATAATTATAGGACTATTGTTATATGTTTAGGGCTAGCTAAGTTTAAGAAAAAAGAAGACAATTTATTCATGTCCATTTTTAAATTATAAATATGAAAATATATATTACAAATAAACAATATATTACCATAAACAATTAAAAATAAGAATTTATAAGTTGCTTTTCTATTACTTAAATCATAAATATAATCTCTTCTGTCTCAAACTATAATCTTTATTTATATCCTTTAAAAAAAAACAATATATCAATTATTTTTGTTGATAATCGCTCTTCTATTGTTAATCCTTAAAATATTTTTTTGGTATTTTTAATTCTATGCAAAACCATAGCCGAATCTTATTTAAAAACAAGGATTCTAAATAAATCAAACAATGTATTTTGGTAAATTTCACCAGGATAATATATAAATATATAATTAGTATAAAGTTATATGGTTTAAAATAAATATATATTAACATAAAATAGTATTTAAAAATATATATGTTATATAAATATATATATAAAAATATATGGAAATACTTATATATATGTATAAAATATATAAATATATAAATATATATTTATATATTTATATATTAATAAAGAAAATATATAACCAAATATATATAAATGTATATATATATAAAATGCAAATATATATATATATACTTATATATATAAATATATATAAATATATATATATATAAATATTATATATATAAGTATATATAATGCTTGCATTATATATAAATAAATTTATATAATATATATATATATATATATATATGTATATAAATATATATATATATAAATATATATAATAAATATATATATATATATAAAATGAGTTTAAATATATATATATGTATATTATATATATATATATATGTATATATATATAAATATATATATGTATATAAATATAAATATATATGTATATAAATATATATATGTATATATATAAATATATATATATATAAATATATATGTATATATATATATATATATGTATATATATATAAATATATATGTATATAAATATATGTATATAAATATATATATGTATATATATATAAATATATATATGTATATATATATATATATATATTATATATATATATATATATATATATATAAATATATATATATATATATATATATATATATATATATATATATATATATATATATATATATATAAAATATATATATAAATATATATATATAATATATATATATATAAATATAACCTTAACCATTAACCTTTGCTTTTTTTTTTTTGTGAATAATTCATGAATATATATATATATATATATATATATATATATATATATATATATATATATATATACATGGCACAAAACTCGTTCAGAAACACCTAATCTATCAGATATATACAAACAGTTTCTCAAATCAATGATTAAAAATAATTTTGAGTAAATGAAATCTGTAGGCCTTGGTGAGGTCCATCCTTCTGCAGAATCACTAAGAAAGAACAAAATACTAGATACCATGTCAGTTAAGGACTTTCGACAACAGCTAAAATGTATATCACATCTAACTCGAAAAGAAAATAATGACATGAGATGTTGCTGTTTCGCACTACTTCAAAAGGTTAGGAAGGAACCTTTTATCAATAGTCTAATGGGCGTTAACAGTGGACTTGATATTTATTCTGAATCATACAGAATTGTAGCACAACGCCGGTTGGAAAAGGGGGTGCTGGACTTCATTAAATATCCTAGTCCTACTTAATCAGATTCGCGACCCATTCATTCATTACAATTTGCTCATTCACCAAAAGAAATTGTCCATCACCTCTTGGTCCTGCATTCACCAAAATACCGCATATGAACTGGGGGGGGGCTACAATGGGCGATAACAGTGGACTTGAGAAACGTATTTTCCTGCAAAAATTGTTTTAATAGAAAGATACTATCAAATTCAATCGACGGTAGCACTGGCTAGCTAGCTGGTTAATGAATTCTTATAAGAAAACGGCTAATATTACTGTAGTGGACTGGTAAATAGGATTGTACCTATTTATATTATTCGGACTATTGTCCTCATCTTTGTCGCCATATTTATTACAACGTTTCAGCCGTTGTACGCTCCGGTATTCTTCAGGTGGATGGAATGTCGAACTGAACCCTTTATTTCGCTCACTGGAGTAGACTGTTCTAGTTCCACGTGCCATATTTAAAGGATGTCAGTTATCAGTTATCTCCTGTTAATTCCCCTCTCCAAGTTCTCCACTGCTTTAAGCGGGTATTGAACTCACACTCTTTGAGTCCTGTCACTGGATCTAACTAACGCCTGTTAGATCCAGTGGATAAAGTTACCATTAGTATGAAAAAAAGTTAGTTTTCTTATACAAATTTAAATATAGAAGATTTGTCATTAACTGGTTTTATAAATCTTATGCTTCAGATTATAATATCCGCCATATTTTTATATGTTTGGTATAGGTTACACTGGGGACGTGAAGCCAGCCTTCTTTTGTGGAAGATTTCCCTCATTTCTCAAGCTATGAAGGCGCAGTCACGTTCAGTAGGTTTCAAGACAGTAAAATGAGTTGGCCATGAGAACCGCTTAATTCCTTGGGAGGTGGGTGCAAATCGTCCCTGAAATAAGTTTTGTTTCTGTCAGTTAATAGTCAGTGAGTGGTGAGAGACAAATTGAGACTCGAGATTTTTGAACAGCCAATGCTTCAAACTGCTTTCCACACAATAATCAGATGACGGTCTGCAAGCGGTCCAAAGAAAATACTTGGCGATGGAATCCTCAGTTCGTATGCCCAACCAATGATGTCAGATTTTCGCTAAAATCTTTATCAAACAGCAGGTGTGACATTTTCATTTTGCTACAGTGAGATGTTATTTGAAAGAATGTTTCTGAGGCCAAGGTGAGACAAACTGTGATATTCATCAGAGAATGAGTGCCAAAATCCCCAGAACTTATATATTATTGAACAAACAATTAAATCAATTTATGCAACGTGGACATTAATAAAGATACAATCTTTAAACAATTAACTTGCTTAATAGTATATACACAAGTTTGAGCTGAAAACATAGACTTAGTGACTGTGATAAAAACGAATTTCGACTTTTTCATTTACACACAATTGACTATTTTAACATGATGGAATGTGAATTTCGTTTTTGTCGACTGGGTAGTCTAACATTCAGACAATTTAGATTTGCAAGGCCTTTTATGTTTATTCGAGCACACTATTTAGATAATGCGACTTTTACAAGAGTATAAATGTATTTACTCTGCAATTTGAAATATAAACACCACTCTCATCTCAACTACTCACCGCAAAAAACGGACGTTTCTTTTTAACGTATTCTTTTTAATATTATTCTAGTTGTTTTTCATATTGAAGTTTACTCAAAACAAGTCTCAGGACCCACTCATGGTAGATAGTTACTTAGTGGAGTGAGTGATATAAATGTAAGAGGAGGTAGGTGTAAGTAAAGATAAAGAGAATAGGCAAAAATTGACCGTTGACTTGAAGAAGTTAAGGCAACAGTCTTCAAGGAAGTATCCTTGTGGGAGTTTTTTATACAACGGTAGCAGTTTACGGAAAAAAGCTGTCTGAGTGGAACTTTCTCATTACACATGAAAATGTGGATGATTCGACTGTGGTTGTGACATGACGAGTCTTAACTGTAAAGGTCTGAACTAGTGTAACTACAGAATACAACTCACCTGAAGATTTGTCATGGAAATAGCTATAGAGTAGGGATAGGCTTGCAACGTTACTTCTGCTTAGAAAGAGGTGAAAAATAACTCATCCTCTACAAGACCGCATGAACAATGTTGAACTTTATCAAGGCTGGAAAGTGAAGATTGGACAGATGGTAGTCTAATTTGAATAATTGAAGAGTGCCAACTATGAGTATTATCCATTAAACAAGACAATAATTGTCCATGAGCGCTCCAACTCACCCCCCCCCAGATTCTTCCGGAGGGATTGGCAAAGAAGGAGATGGTGGTTTTCCCGTTTGAGTGGGTGCCTCGGTTGTAGTATCTGTTCCGTTCTGGAGGCCTTATCTCATCCCATGCGTTCTACCACCACCGTTGCGTAACATCTGTTTCGTAGTGGTGGTATGACAAGCGGCCCGAGTGGAAACACTCGGGTTCCTACGTTAAAAACCAACCTTGTATCACAACCTGACTCAGTGGGGGCGTTAAAGTAAATCTCGAACAATAATTGTCCATATTCAGTATGAGCGACTACAGATTTTTTGGTATGGACCACTACGATATACGATTTTACAACAGTTATCTTCGTCTGGGTTTAGTAAAAAGGCAAGCAATTGCAGCACAATTAAGAGAAAGATACTTGACTTAAATCTATGTTGGCAAGCTAGTTTCACAAACCATTACCTATCATAGCGAGATTGAGCCTCGTCGTTGACTCATTTTTCTACCTTCTGTCGCAATTAGCTAATTGTAGTAAATTAATTTGACACCAGGTTAGAGCTATGGTTAACAAGCTAATCTAGTGGAATCTTGGTTGTTTTTGTTATTTAATGCCGAAATCTCAATTTTTTGTACACAATTTTTTGGAGATAATAATAGTATAGTGATACAAGTGTTACTAATTAATTCATAGCTGGGAGAAGAAGATTCATCCCTTTTCAAGGGCATTTGCGCGTAAGTGAATATAACGAATCCAACTTGAATTGAAACTCGGCTCTTCGATTTACAATTTCGAGCCGCTATCCATTACACCACTCACACATCCAAGCTTACAGCACCTGGTATTCCCAAGTAGTCACCCAGCTTGGTATTAACCAGGTTCGACGTTGCTTAACTTCGGTGATCATACGGGGGACCGTTATTTAAACAGGATATGGCCGCAAGCCTTAATCTAGTTGAACTAGAGTTACTGTAGTAAGTTTGATTTTCGCTGATGCCTCACTGTTTTAGCTTTCTGCTGTACTGAGAAAAAGTTTCGTAAATATTATAAATAAAAGAGAAAAGCGAACCACATATAAATAACATACTAAAGAAATAAAGTGCAAAGTATAATATAATTTTTGAAAAAAACAACCAGTGACTGACTTCATGTGATGAGCGTAGATTGGGGGAAATTAAACAGTTTTTGAAACAAGAAAGGCAAGAAAGTAACTAAGATGCAAGGGGTTACTGTGAGTAAATGAAACTGGCAAAATGTTACTAAATAAAACAGACAATGTAAGTCAAATTTTATTCGAGAAAAATACTCTGTTACAGTTGGTCGTTTAATTTGTGTAGAACAAAGAAGGATAAAACAACAAATAAACGTATCTATTTTTTCAAAACTATAACTTTGCAAGGTAAGTTTGTTCACTGTGTTATGCTAGACATTTTTCTCGCAGAATCTATCTTACATATTTATAAGTCTACCATTCGTTCATGCATTGAATACTGCTGCCACATCTGGTCTGGGGTTCCTGCTATATATTTAGAGATTCTTGACAACATCCAAAGAATTAGCAATAAGTCCTGACCTGGCATCGCGTTCTCACCGCCGTAGCGTAGCTTCCTTATGTATTTTCTATAAATACTTTTATGGTAATTGTTCTGATGAACTTTCCTCTGTGAATTTAAGCACAGTAACAGATTGGCGACAAGGTCTCATCATTTTACATTTTGCTTCCCAGTCAACTTTGATCTTCAAAATTTTAAATGAAATGCCAATCGTTGTCTATTATCTTCTTAATTACTATTCTTTTATTGTCTCTCTCTTTAATATTGTCTGTTTCCTCATATTCTCTAAAACCCAGTAACCCCTTGCGTTTTAGTGACTTTATTGCCTTGCTTGGAGTGAAACGATTAAGAAAATGTTCTCATAAAATATTATACCCTGCGAGTAAAATGTCTAAAATACATTTAAAATAATTTGAGCATCCATGCCAGAGACTGTTTCAGAATAACAGTTCTTATAAAAAAAAGCTTTTAGAAGGAACTTCCTCCTTGCTATTGGAATATGGAAGTGATTAGACTCCAGGGACGTAGCATGATGCGTCCTGCATCTTAAACATATTTTATTATCTATATCACTGTTTAGTGTGATTTGGGGGATGTCGGCATGATCTCAATATTTGTCTATTGAAGCTCGAAGTAGCTTTTTACTATATGCCATCCTTCTCTGTTGCTGTTCTGAGAAACATACTTCTACTTTTTATATCCTATTTTCCTTTAGGATGTGAGAGATTATGGCTCTCTATGTCTTCCTATCTTTTGTTGCTTTAAGTAACTTGACTCTTCATTACAACTTTGCCATTCATATGCTTCTATAATGTGACGAGTCTCTTCGGGACGTGGGTGATCATAGAACTCCACAACTTGTATTTTGTCGCTCCAAGTACTTTTGACTCTTTACTCTCCTTTGTCCTTCTTCTGTCATCCATTTACACAAAATTGTTAAGTAACTTACTCAGTGTTTCGCTCTGCATCTCTTGCCTCTAGTGTGTATTGTGAGTGTTAAATTTTTCAAGTTCTCTTTCCTCATTATTTACCAAATTGAAACCGTCTCATTCGGATTTAAATTTAAGTTTCATTGTAGTTCATATTTTCCTTAAAACATCCTTATTGCTCATGTTCCATCAATGTTTTCTTTTTTCAGCATTCGTCGGTAGAACCACGTATTATTCGCTTAAAGTCTCTTCTTCATCTGCAAGGAGATGGCCAAACATCCATTGCCTTATAAGAGATGAGATATTACACAGCCGTTCAGTACTCTTTTCTTTGTTTCTAAGGACATTTTCTTATTTCTAGATACTTTGCATAGTTTCTGAAAGGCATTTGTCTCTTTCTTCTGCACCTTCGGGTTTCTATGTCAAAACTTTAGTCGTCTGCTAGCACATTACTTAGTTGAATTGCTGCACTTACTAGATTTTGACGCCCTCAATTTATAGCTCACATAGTGTCGTTATCTTTTATTGGCAGCTATGCATTCTTTTTTCTTACAGTTAATTGTCATTCTTCTTGCTCTCCGTCACTAAGTTGTCTAAGAGTTCTTTCAGTTTTTTTTTCTTAGGCTGATAAGACTGTGTTTATGGCAGACTATCTTAATTTGCTAAGACTATGTCCCCCTATAATAAATCCTGGTAGGTCTTCTAGTTTGGAAACGCCTCGTTTCATAGGTTTAAAACATCTAGTGAAAACTGCACGTTTGTCAAATGAAATGAATACTCTTAACTAGAGGTGATGTCTCAATAATGTCACCGTGGAGAAGTTAACAAGATATCCACCCAGCGATACCGTGTCATCACCGCATTAGCTACACACATGGTTATGGAGCCCAGTCTACGTCATTGTGATAAATGGCCGTTGACTCTATAGGTCTTGTTTTTAATCCTACAGAGTGTCTAGACACCCTCCTATCCAGAAAAGCCTAGTGGGTGAAATGGTTTAGTCACCGATGACCCCACCATACAGTAGGTAGTACTGTGTAACATGGTACTAGTGGCGCTCGTATAGTGAGCTTTCATAAAAATGTAAGGTAAAGATTTCAAATAATGTTTGTATCTTAATAATTGAACATAATCTTCTATGTGTCGCGTCCTTTCAGGATATAGGCGATCATGGCTCTCGCAGATAAGTGGCCCAATACCTTTCCCTATATCTTTTGCTCACAAAATACTCCGTGAAGTTAGGTATTTCCAAGCCCTTCATCTATATACCATGTCCAAGGAATTTCATTTTCTTTTCCGGAATCTGATTATAAGTGTTCTTTTTGTTGTCATTTTTTTTTTGTAATACTTCCTTGTTTCTTACCTTCCTTGTGCATAGAATTCTCAGTATCCTTCTGTAGAATCATATTTCTGCTGTCTCCAGTTTTCATCTCATCCGTCGGAAGATTTTCCAGCATTCATTAACATATAAGAGGATATATAGCCCATTATGAAGATTTCAAATCCAGTCTTCAACGTAGTCATCAAATTCTTATTACTCCTTCTCCACCTCCGCCGCCACCACCATTTTTCGAGGATCGAACAAAAGTAATGTCCCTTCTACTTTAATTACAATAGATTTAATAACAGAATCACACAAAGTAACAAAAAGGAAGACGAAAATGTCAAGACTCCAAATCTAATCCTCAATATAGTCTTCTTCCTCATCAGTCGTTGTAGGAGGGTTGGTCAAGAGTAATGTCTGTTCTTTAATTACAATAGATTTAATAACAGAATCACACAAAGTAACTAAAATGAAGACAAAAATGTAAGGATTCCAAATCTAGTCCTCAACGTAATCTTTCTTCTCAAATCGTTCGCTCAACAGATAATGCACGCTTTTCTTTAATAACAACAGATTTAATAAAAGTACTCAAAAAATACTACAATGAAGACAAATGTGTCAGGATTGTCAACAGTCCAGACATTTAAATCTAACACTTGGCATGCTACTTCCATAGGATCGAATCACACCCATTCTCTTCATATTCCATTTTTAAGAAGGAACTTTCACTCAGACAACTTTTCTTTAAGAACCGCTATTTGTGGAACAGACTCCCACGCAGATGCTTCCCAACACTTTAAAAGTCAAGGGTCAATTGTTATCTAGCCTCCATATCGTCATAATTTTCTGTTGTAACCAAGGGAAGGTTATTGAATAGAATAATCACACGAAGGTTGGTAGTGAACGAAAATACTTAGGATAAGAACAACAGATTCGTCAGCGGTGCGTAGAAGAAGTAAACTGCTACAAGTGAATTCCACATTGAATCTCCAACTGCAGACCAACATACAGTATTTACTACTGTGTTTATGTGAATGGGGACATATCCATAATCGTCCGTAGCTATGCTACAACAATAACCCTCTACCTTCAGGGGTTACTTGTCCTTGATTTGGTTGATCATTATTTAAAAAAAAACAACTTAAACCCCTTTCTTCTCGTTCCTGGTATTCCACCTTTGAATTACGATATGTACAGTTTCTTATTGCGCACTAGAATTGCCATGAACTTTATTGGCTCGTAGATCATGAGGATATGTAGGATAGATAACGGTTGACTCTGGGCTTAAAGGTGAATATTGTAGTGGAAGCATTCTCTCGGGGTTTTTCCACAAAACAGCGACTATTGAGAGGAAGCTTTCCGAAATGAATTCTGTTCTTGCCAATGGAATACGAAGGGAATGGGGATGGTTCGTTTCTATGTACATGGCATTCCTAGTCTTAGATGTAAATGTCTGAATAAGTGGAATTAAGGAATATAGCTCGTCTAAAATTTTTAATGGAAACAGCGATAGAGTAGCGATAGACTTGCGATGCTGTGTCTGTGAGAATGAGATTGTAAGGTGGACAGTTCTTTGCTTTCTACATGTGTCCATAGGGTCAACCATTTTGAAAGAGTGTAATAGACTGGAAAGGAGAAAGTCGGTCAGTTTTTCCCTGGGCTTCTAGATGGTCTTTTAGCTAAATAAGTAGATAGGTAAATTCTGTCTGAATTTCTGGGATGAGGAGTTATTATTTACACTAAACGGGTGAGCAATAACTGAGCAGTACTAAAAGTAAGAACTAGACTATATTCCTAGACATGGGCAGTGGAACGAGAACAGTCTATCTATAGATTAAATAAATGGTTCAGTTCAGAATTCCCTGTAGGCTACCCAGATACACCTGAGAAAGGTAGGTGGGCATAACGACCGAAACTTTGCAAGAACAACAATAAAGGTGAGGATAATAGTCTAAATATAAATAGTGTAAATAAGTAAATAGGTATTTGTCAAAATTTTAAAATGAAATTAGAACAGGCATAAGTTTTTAACCGACGATTGTATACGTTTAAATTACAATTTGTTGTTAAATTTTGAAGAACATTAAAATGGCACTTCGTCTGTATCTCACCCTGTTACTACAACAGTCCTATTTTGC